CACGGTTGCCACTTGAAAATTTTTTTCTGTACCAAAATTGGTTTAAAAAGGTACCATTTCTGTAAAAAAAGGTCCAAAATTTTTCTATTGTCTTTTTATAAGAAAATACAATTTATATAAAATGTACAAAAAGTATAAAACAATACAATATCCACAATAAAGTTGGGTCGCCGAAAATGTACCATTTTTTGAACATGAGTACCAGAGTACCAAACGAAAAAAGAAGTACCAATTTTGGTACTAAAGTACCATAAGTGGCAACCGTGTATGTATATATTATTTCTTTTTTTATATGTTATCATTCTCTTAAATATATAAAAACTTTATTATTACGTTTCGGAAATAATAGCGTACAAAAATATTGCTTTCAAGTTTATTAATTACAAGTAATTATTTTGAATCATTATAATTATTATATCCCAGTTTGTATATAATATATCAACACACACTTAATTAAAATCAATTCCAAGTGTAGAACAAAATAAATTGTCGTATTTATTATTTTTTTGTTAGGTGTCTTCTAACTGAAAATGATTTAGGTATCGATTCCTTACTACAAGAACGGGGAGATCGTATGAACGGGGAGACCATTTCATTTTTGAGAAGTTCAGGAATCGATGCTTTGGTACCAGAAATAAAAAGATTCGTATGAAAAATAAATCTCTGTTGGGTGCCTCTTAACTGAAAATAATTCAGGAATCGACTCCTTATTACAGGAAACATGATATATCGTATGAAATATCATGAAAGGGTGAAAGGGTGAGACCCTTTCATTTTAAAAATGTTCAGAAATGAATTCGTTGGTACCAGAAATAAAAAGATTCGTATGAAAAAAAATCTCTGTCTCATAGAAACTGAGCTTATTTGAAGGATATTTTTTGGTTTACTTTTCTTTCACAATCTGAATTTCGGTTCCTCTCCATCTTTTCCTAAAGACCCATTGATTGAAGTTAAGAATCACAGCCTGAACTTAGATTACTTAATAGGTTACATCCTATATCTTATAATATTTATAGTAACATATACACAATACACATAAATTTTTTTATCTTTTCTATAACAGTTTAATTTGTTTTAATAAAAAAATTATTTTAGATAACTTTTAGTCAAGTTTAAGCACATTAACCTATATCGGGGGAATTAATAATAGTTTTTATATTTTTTATAATACAAAAAAAAAACACTTGAACATTTGTTGATATAATAAATATTATTTTTTTCTTTTTAATTTTTATCGAAAATTTTTGTCTTCTCACAAATAAACTAAAATATGTAGTGTAGCGAAAAAAAAAAATTGGCGAGGTGTCTTAATATTTGCAGATAATTTCTTGAGAGCAGCATTGCGTTTAATTATAATTAAGTAAAAATTTATAAAAATAAACAAAAATAATAATGAATAAATGAAAAATAAACAAAATAAAAATACTCTGAAGATGATAACTTTTAAGCACGATAAGCAAAGCACGGTACTTGACCTGCACTTAAACTGTGAACGTACAATTTGGAGGAAAACGTTTTTGAATAAATTAAAATTTTATTAATCAAACAAATAAAAAAACAATAATAATGTATATTTTTAAATACTATTTAAAAATACGCATTTAATTTTAGTAAAACTAAATATGTCAACAAATTAGTGATCTCAATGTGATGATATGATTAGAAATGAAGGGAATTTATAGAATAAAAACTTACACGCTCGAGAAGAACATCAATGGCGCGACTCATATTTCCACTGTTGTGGTTATTAGTTAGAATAGAAATTAATCAAAGTTAAATAGTTAAAATGGGAAAAAAGTCAACTTAAAAATTTTGCTTATAATTTTTTATCTATTTACAAAAAAATAAAAAATATGATAAATATTATTGATTTATTCTATTGCGATGATTGAATGACGAGGATTTTTTTTTAACCACTAAAACTTTTAAACGACGCGATTCATGCAAAATTTGCTGTCATAAAATAGTTAATAATATAAATTAACAAAGCAACTAGTAACTAATATTAAATAACAAAATTATAAATATTTAGTAACCGGCTTTGTGTAGTTAATATTTTTATTAATATTCAATTTGCATAAAAATTCGTTAAAACGCGTGCCCACTAAGTGTTTAATTGTAATTAAAATAAAATTACTTTGTATTGTATTTTTAGTAAAATTAATATTTTTTTTTTAAATTGTTATAAATTATTTTTTTTTTTTTAATTTAAGTTTTTACTATGTTGAGGAACGTTCGCGACTAAACTGTGAATTAAAAACATTTCAAATTTAAATTTGAATTCGTTTTTATAAATTGCAAACGTAGAAGCTTCAGCGCAAAACCAACAAAAGCCGAGTACACAGTGAGAAATTGACGCGACAAACAAACGCTTATGAACATTTAAAAAAATTTTAACTATTTTTTTCAGAATGAAACGTACATAGACAAGTAGTAAGTAGCAAAAAAAAAACAGAAAGAAAAACAAAACAAAAAAAAAATTGTGAAAATAAAACAAACGCGATTAGTATATCGTCGACTATATGCCGGACGACTCGACTGATACTGTGCGAAGCCAACGACTTGAATGAGCACGAAGTACTCGAAAATGTATCAGTCAATTATGAAATGCGTACATTTTCATTACTGAATCGTTATAATGCCTCTTCTTATCAGTTGAAGCAGCACACCAACGAGCCTCAGTGATAAAACTAATGTGGTTTTCGATTGGTAAATCTGGGGCAAAATTTATAACACTCGAGATTAATTTATAACAATCTAATGCAATTTTTATTTTCGATTGGTAAATCTGTATAACACTCGAGATTAATGTATAACACTTGAGATTGATTTATAACAATCTGGATTTTTTGCCAGAGTAGCAAGATTACCCTGAAATTAACAGCTGTTTTATATGATTTGACAGATGAAAAAGTGTGAATTGTTCGTTATATTTGATGGTCGTTTTTAAAAAATGGATAAATTAAAAATTATTGCACATTTGGCTGCAAATGCACTGTCATCTGAAGATTCATCTTCAGATGAAGACATATTTTTCCAATTGATACAATTTGGAAAAACGGAAAAAAACAGAGTTGAAGATTTTGTCGTAAATGTTGTGTACAAATACACAGAAAAAGAAGTTAGTGAGAATATTAAAATTCAATTTGTTTATTTATGCAATTTGTAAAAATAATTTATGCAGTTTAGAGAAAATTTTCGAGTTAGTCGTTTAACTGCAGAAAAAATAATTGATCAGTTTGGAAAATCTTCGCATTATAAACATAAAATAAGTGCTGGCGGAAAGATGGAATGTAGTTCTGAAACGCAATGTCTTATATTTTTGTGGTGCTTATTACATATTTCTGAATATGTATTAATAATTCTTACATACAACTCAATTTGCAGGTTTGCAGGCAACAAAACCACTTACAGAGAAGTAGCCAATTTATTCCACGTAGCATCTTCAAGTGTACATAAATATATATCTTGCGTATCGGATTTTTTATTCGATATATCAGCCAAAGTTATAAGAATGCCAAGCGGTGATGAAAAAGATAGCAACGCCCAACAATTTTTTCAAGTAAAATCTTCCAATACATTAGAAAAAATTCATATACTACAAATATTTTATAGATTGCAGGATTTCGAAATGTATTAGGGTGCATTGATGGCACATACATTTATGTTAGAAAACCAGCCAATAAAATACGGTCTACGTACATAAATAGACACGGATTATTGTCTATAACATTACAAGCTATTTGTGATGCTAACAAAAGATTTTTAGATGTATTCGTTGGATCACCTAGTAAAATTCATGATGCTCGAATATACAAATTGTCACCGATATCCAAGGAGCTTTCTTCTGTGTGTGTTGACCAATTCCACATATTGGGTGATTCAGCATATCCTTTGAGAGAATATTTGTTAACTCCGTATAAGGATTATGGAGACCTATCCCAACAACAAAAAACATTCAATAAAAAACATAGTCAAACTCGTGTTAGTATTGAAAATTCTTTCGCATTGCTGAAACAACGATGGCGACAGTTAAGTCATTTGGATTTTTTTTCTGTGGAAAGAATGTGTAAGTTTGTGCTTGGCTGCTGCGTACTTCATAATCTTTGCATTGAGGAAAAGGATGATTGGATGGAAAATGTTGTAAGTGCAGAGGTAGTTAGCAGGGAACATCGTGGCGAAATCTCAAGTGAGCAGTTGGGTTTTTCAGAGACTGTTTTACAGCACATGGGCAAATTGAAACGCAATAGAATATCTGAAACATTTTAGAGTAATATTCAAAATTTCTATTTTATATTTATATTTTTTTATATTAAAAAAATTTAGCTTTACAGTAATATATATATTTATTGATGTATTTACATCAATTATATTTTTCAAGAATCTTTTTTAAAATTTCTGTTGTTTCCTCGTGTCTACGTTGCTTATTTTTCTCTATTTCTTGCTGCAGTTTCATTTTTTTTTCTTGCAAATCAAAATATTTATCAAAATATTTCTCTTGCGCTGTTTTTCTTTTTGTAGTACGTGAAACTAATGGAATAGGTGACGATGATGAGCAACTTAAAGTAGACGTTTCTGTAGTGTGGTCTGAAATGGCAAATTTTCGAAAAACTCTGCCAGGCGCAATTGCAACTTCAGGGCACAGTGAGTCATCTTGTGCTACAATTTGTGCCATTTCGTCATCATACGGCGTTTCTATAAATGCAGCTCCGGTTGTAAAATTGTTTTCTATCGCCTTTTTTGTCCGACGAGTTACGCACTTGTAGCGACTTTCCACTTGAGTGCCAGTATAAACGCCTGCGAATTTCAACGATAGCTCGCAACCAATACTTTCCCACATTGCTTTTTTGTTTTTAAATTTTTTAAGTGGTCCAATATGTTGCTGCTCCTTAACGTATAGGTCAAGCATATACTTTGTATCTTCTTCTAGCCATTTCCGAGGCGGCTGAGCTTGACTTAAGATATTTTCAACATCATCTAAAATTTATATTAAATTTATATGATGACAGCAATTATATTATATATTTTAATTTATTTACCAAAAGCATCAATAAGGTATTCAATTTCGTCATCCATTTCTAACGACTTTTTATTTGTAATGACACGCAATGTATGTGACTTGTCAAAAGCTTACTAACACTACTTCAAAAATGTTAGATTGCACTAAAAATGTTCGATTGGGCAACAAAATTTGACAGATCCAGAGTAAATCTAGATTGAATCCAGATTTACCAATCGAAAACGCCATAAGTGTCAAGTGCTCTAACTTTGTCTCGTAATATCTTCGAAAAATATAGGTTCATGTTGTAAAATGATAAAAATAAATTTTTCGGCACATTGTCAAAATTATTAATTGAAATATTGCGATAAAATTAAAAAAAAAATTGGTGTAATAATTTTTAAACCGATAGCAAAATTAAAGAAGAATTGCTGACCAAGTACGCGTAGTGATCTATTAGACATCACTTCAAAAAAATAGTGCTTCCAAATGCACAATTAAGAAACCGGTAAAACCGGTAACGAACTAGATTTAAGTCCCTTTTAATTAAACCAATGAAAAATTATTAAAGAAGAAATTTGGAGCAAGGACTCTAAATGACTTCAAAAAAAAATAGTGCCTATAAATGTAACAATAAAGAATTTTTAAAACTAGTAACTAATTTGATTTAAATCCATTCCAGTTAAATCAATAAAAAAAATTGAATAAGAAAAAATGTTGACCAAGTACTCGTATTGACCTATCAGTTGTCACTTCAAAAAAAAAAAAAAGAAGTGCTTTTAAGGAATTAAGGAATTCGTAAATAGTGTAACAAATTAAATTTAAGTTCAAAGTAGTGAACAAATAATTAAAGAAGAAGATTTTGACCAAATACTCATAGTGACCTATTAGATGTTAAATAATAAAAAATGCTTTTAAATGTGTAATTACTCTTACAATTAAAACTACGAAGTACTCGTAGTCACCTATAAGATGTTAATTCATATAAAATATTACTTTTAAATATAACGCTTAAGAAATTCTTAAAAACGGTAAATAAGTAGATTCACGTTCACTTCAAAAAAAGTGTTTTCAAATGTAAAACTTAATAAATTTATAAAAATGATACCTCAGTTTATTTTAGATATAGTAAATCAATATTTATAAATATTGTAAATTTATATATATTCACAACACCTACAATTCAACTGTAGATGTCGATATAATTGTGCACAGTTTCTTCTAGTACAGTTATCAAACCATGGGACTTGCGTCCATTCCAATAATTATTTGCTATTCACTTTGTTAGTTCTTTTCCAGATGTAGTTCTGGACTTTGTTCACAAAGCTTTAAAGGGCTTCATATAATTAAAAGCGAAATTCGTACAATAGGACTCTTATGGAAGCAGTACCTTGTCGGTTTTACGAAAATAGTTTTAATAATAATAATAATTAATATTATATGTTTTTTTAATTTCACTTTAATATTTTCATCTGTCTAAGTTTACTACGTCACAAACATTTAGACAAACTTTATATACCATTAATGCATTCTTATGTAAAATGGTTTTTGAATAGTAGCGAATCATAACAACAAAGCTTTATTTTATTTTTTAATTGAAATTTTTGACTAACTGTATAGCTATTTCTATATAGCTATTTTACTGCCAAATAATAGTCATCAGTGGTATTTAGAAATTTTCGTTTTTTTTACAAGTCCTTATATTATTGTTAGACCACAACTGTCAGGCTTATAACTTTGAACCTATCAAATTAAAAGTAATGACTTCGCGTGAGTTAACCAAACTTGCCTTTCCTTCGTTCTAATTGATTTTTACAATTAAATTTATTTA